TGTGTGTGTGTGTGTGATCCTCAGTGATGCTGACAGACTCCGTGAGGCTGCAGCCGAGTGACCCACTTTCTCCGCCTCACAAACGGACCCGCGGTGCCACAACGCGTCTCCTCATCCAGCACCGACACACACACACCTCATCCAGCACCGAACCCCCCCCTCACAGAAGTCGTCCGTTAACCCGGATCCATCCGATCCGATGCGTCCCCACAACACAAAGCCGCTCGTTTCGCCGCTCCGCCTCCAGCGGCCGTAAACCCTCCACATGTATCCGAAAACAGGCGTCCTTACCTGGGGGAGGCCGAGCATCCAGAGCGCGAGCAGCAGTGGGGGGAGCATGGTGCGTGATGGGCCGAGAGAGAGGCTCTAATCCGGGCTCTTCCTCTCAGTCTGCTGCGCATCCAAACAATGGCGACTCTGCTGCTGCATCGGAGCGCGATGCTCAGAGGTTCGATTCCGCTCCGCTGCTCTTAGCTGCTCTTCATCATCTTCTTCTTCTCCGTTATCATCATCATCATCATCTTCCTCTTCGGTCTCTCCGCTCGAACCGGAGCCGCTGAAGATTCAGAGGGAAACAGGCCGGGCTCCGGCGTCCACGCCGCGGCCTGAAGACGAGCAGGAGGTCGGTGATGATGAAGCTGCTGCTGCGTGGCCCCGCCCTGCGCTCCTCACACCGGGTCCTCCCTCTCTCCCCTCCTCCTCCTCGTTATCCTCCTTTCCCCTCTTCCTCATCTTTCTATCACTGGAACTGACTGAGTCTCACTCACTTCACTGCTTCATGTTTCTGCTTCACTTGAATGAGTCCTTCATGAAGCTGCAGGATTGTGTTCAGCTCTGCTGCTTTCTTTATTCACATCAACTCATATTGTTTTCTCTGGAGCTTCATTTTTCAATCTCTGCTTTTTATTTTGAAATGGATCTGAAGCTGTGAATCTGTTTGTGTTGTTTTTAGCTGCATCAACACTTTCAGTCCCGCCCATGGTTTAAAGCGACTGGTCCATCTGACTGTCGATCAACAGATCAGCATCTCTGTGAGCACATGCAGCATCTTCCTGTGTGTAGCTGCTGATCCATACATGTGTCACTTTGTTTCTCCTTCACTGAGTAGTACTTTTTAAAGTACTAATAAGACAGTGTAGAAGTACTCTGTTACAGTAAAAGCACTCATTATGCACAATGGAGCATTTCAAAGTATTATTTTATAGTATTATAGACCTATTCTGCTTTTCTGCTTCATCCCTCTGCTTCAGTGTGTTGTGTATATATTTCTGTTCATCACAGTTAAAAGGTGACATCCTGACAGAGGCTCGTATTCTGAGTCTCTGTTCAGGGATTCTGGTTTAATAAGTGCGATGTCTCTCAGTGGACGACAGGCTGCAAAGTGCTGCCTTTGACTTCCAGTTGGTGGGCGGAGCTCTTCATGGTGCTGGTCACCTCAGCCAGTTGTACTTTGTATTGGTTCAGTGGAGCTTGTATACTGAGGTGGTCTTCTCCTCTCCACCCTTTCTTCTTCTTTGGACAACCTCTGTCCCTTCACCTCCAGGCCTGCACCGCCAACTCCACCTGCCCCGTGGCTGTCGGACTGATAGACGGAGACTGAGCGTAAATGGAGAAAAGGCAAACTCACGGAGGACCTTCTTAACTTCCAAGCTCTTCTTTCCACTTTTTCCTCCTCTCTACTGCTAAAGCTGCTTTCTTCTGCTCTAAAATCCTAACCTCTGCTTCCAATCCTAAAAAACTCTTTGAAACTTTCTCTTCACTCCTCCAACCCCCTCCCCCTCCTCTTACTTCCTCCCTGATGATTTCGCCAACTTCTTTGACAAGAAGGTAAACGATATCAGATCCTCCTTCTCTCAGCCCCCCTGTCCCTGTCCACCCTCTCCCTCCCTCTCTCAGTGTCCTTGTCCACCCTCTCCCTCTCTACCCTCTCCAGCTCTTCCCCCTCAGCTCTCCCTCCCCTCTCCATGCCCCATCTTACCCTATCTTGCTCCCCTCTCCCCTAACGAGGTCCTCAACCTTGTTACATCTATCCGCCCCACCACGTGCTCCCTTGACCCGATCCCCTCCCCTCTTCTTCAGTCTATTGCGACTGAACTCCTTCCTTTCCTCACCCACCTCATCAACACACATCTTGTTTCAGGATGCTTTCCCACAGCTTTCAAGACTGCCAGAGTCACCCCCCTTCTGAAGAAACCATCACTTGACCCCTCTGATGTCAAGAACTTCAGACCGGTTTCTCTTCTACCCTTTCTATCCAAAACACTTGAACGTGCTGTCTTTACTCAACTGTCTTCCTATCTCCACCAGAACAGCCTCTTGGACCCCCACCAGTCCGGGTTCAAGGTGGGTCACTTGCCTGAGACAGCCCCCCTTGCGGTGACAGAGTCGCTTCACGCCGAGAGAGCGAACTCTCTCTCCTCTGTCCTGATTCTCCTGGACCTGTCTGCAGTGTTTGACACAGTGAACCACCAGATCCTCCTCTCCACCCTCGAGGGGATGGGCGTCTCAGGCTCTGCACTCTCCCTGTTTGCATCCAGCCTGACAGGTCGATCCTACCAGGTGACATGGAGGGGGGCCGTGTCGGAACCACGCATGCTGACTACGGGGGTTCCACAAGGCTCAGTCCTGGGCCCCCTTCTCTTCTCGCTCTACACAACATCTCTGGGTTGTTATTCGCTCGCATGACTTCTCTTACCATTGTTATGCCGATGACACCCAGCTGGTCTTGTCATTTCCCCCCAGTGACACTCAAGTGGAGGCACGCATCGCTGCGTGCTTGGCTGACATCTCGAAGTGGATGACGACACACCACCTCAAGCTCAACCTGGACAAAACCGAGCTACTGTTCCTCCCGGGGAAGGTTTGCCCGCACCGAGACCTGTTCATCACCATTGATGATACCGTGGTGACACCAACTAGGACTGCGAGGAACCTGGTTGTGACCCTGGATGACTAACTGTCGTTCTCAGCAAACATTGCATCGGTTACACGCTCCTGCAGATTCCTGCTCTACAACATCAGGAGGATTCGCCCCTTCCTCACTGATGAGACGGCGCAGGTGCTTATCCAGGCTCTTGCCATCTCCCGCCTGGAGTACTGCAACTCACTACTTGCCGGAGCACCGGCGTCGGCCATCAGACCTCTGGAGCTTGTCCAGAAAGCTGCAGCCCCAAGTTCTCCCACACAACTTCCCTTCTCCGTTCTCTACACTGGCTCCCTGTAAGAGCTTGCATCCAGTTTAAGACTCTGGTGCTAGCCTACAGGGCAGTGAAAGGAACAGCTCCTTCCTATCTCCAGGCCATGGTCAAGCCCTACACCCCCGCCCGACCACTTCGCTCTGCTGCCTCGGGGCGATCGGTTGCCCTGTCGCTCAGAGGTCCCTGCGGCCGATCGACCCGGTCACGGCTGTTTCCTGTCTTGGCCCCACAGTGGTGGAATGAACTCCCCACTGACGTCAGGACAGCAGAGTCGCTGCCCATCTTTCATCAGGCTGAAGACTCACCTCTTCAAGAAGTACTACCCTCAGCCTTCCACTTAGAACTTATTGTATTCGTATTAGTTTGTTGCACTTGTTGTATTTGTATTAGTTTGTTTCTGTACTTTGGCTCTGGGTTATGCTCTTAGATGCTTGTTTAAAAGGGGAGATGTACTTATGACTTCTGGTGACTAGTAGTTCTCTTGAATACCGATGTTGAATACACTTATTGTAAGTCGCTTTGGATAAAAGCGTCTGCTAAATGACTGTAATGTAATGTAAATATAATGTGTTTTCTGCTGGAATGACGTTTCTTGTATTTGCTTCTCAGACGTTGTAGTGCTCCAGCCTCCAGTGTCCAGTGGTGACCATCCTCCTGAGGTGTTGATCTGTGTGGTGGGGGTGATACCAGAGCTGACTGATGACTCATCATCCTGAGGATCCAGTAGAGAAGTGGTGCTCAGTGAAAGGGGTTACTGGTCCGATCCATTATCCTGAAGCAGATAGCACAGGAAGGTGGGTCGTGGTGGGGTCACTGGTGGTAGGAGGACTTCTGCAATGGGTTCTCCCTGGGGAGGTGCTGCAAGGCTTGAAAGTCCTGGTTGAGGCATCACCCAGTCTGGCTCCCTTGGTTCCGGTGTGATGTACTGGGGAAATCTCTCATTGGTAGGGATGGGAGCTCTCGCCATCTGGTGCCGTGAGTTGACAGCTGGACCTGCACTGTAGGGTCCTTGAGGTGTGTATCCTATGCCTGGTCCCATCACTGCTGTATCGACAGGGGTCAGGTGAAGCCTATATTGGGGGTGCACCTGAGGCCTGGTATAATTGATCTGTTTTCTATGATCTGGGTATGATCTGGGTTACTTGCTCTTGGTCTGAGCTTTTGGTTCTTATCAGTACTAATATCTTACCTACAGTAATACCGGGCTTATCTTCCTTCCTCTCACTGAGTCAAATTACAATCTTTCCCGTATTGTCCTCCGTAGTATAAACAATAACCTGGAACTTGCCTGTTTCTCACCTCACTCCTCCGGGGATGACTGTCGTGGGTCTGCTGTCCCCCGATTCTCTCCTGCTGTCCCAAACCCTTCAGATAGTCCTCGTGCTGGATCTAGAGGGACTGTTGCTACTGCAGGATCGCTGCACAAATGCTCCAGCACTCGTGAAAATGTCAAAGCAGTCCACCATCCACGTATGAGTCTCTTGTTTGTTTTAGATTTATGAATTTTGTGAACTACCAAAGTCTTTGATTCCTTTCCAGCTCGTCCTGCCGCTGCTCTAAGCCCCTCCTCCTTTTAGAAGTTCACTCCAAGCAGAGGAGTTTTCTTATTTCTGCTCTTATTGTCTCAGTGTTCTAGAAAACACCTCGTTCTCACTGCCAGCTCCCTCATTCATTGGTGTCACTTTATTTATTTTACACAATGTACAATTTTCATAATAATACATTTTAAATTCCTTAAAGACGCTCTGCTAATCTCCACAGTATACCTGCTAGAAATACTAATGATGCTATCATAGTTATTACACCACACAGTAACAACTTTCATCTGTTGTCTCAAATCAGCCTGAGAGTTCTCAATTCTGTCTACAATATGACTCTCATCAATACAGTCACTTACTTTCTATTAGCAGCATTTACATGCAGTTATTTACACTAAAGCGCGCCCTCTCGCCATCCAAAAGGCCCCTTAGCGAGGCATCCTTCTGTCCTAAACTAAAGTGACTCATGTCAGCTGTGTGAACTCTCTTCTTCATCAGCTGCTTCAGCTTCGTGTTGGACAACATCGCCATCATGTGGACAGACGGAGCAACAGCAGCTTCACAGGCTTCAGTTACATTTAGAAAAGATGATCAAACCGCCTTTTTTGTTTTTGTAAACTGAATCACAGGTTTTAAACACATAAATACAGGTTTTAAACAGACTCAGGAGTCTCTGTGTTGATCCAGACCAGGTTTATTAAGTCTAAACATGGTGGATTTTCATTCAGACCTGGTCTTATGTGGTCTAGATTCTTTTATTATTATTGGTAAACTGTTCTGTTTGATTATTAAACTGATGTTCAGTAACAGATCTGAGAACAGATACTTTAATGAGACACATTTAAAATCAATAATCACATCTGAGCAGATGAAAGATGTTCTTTGTGGTTGTTTACGAGTAGCCAACTCAGCATCTTTTTACTAAAC